AACTCTCAGGGACCGCCCCAGCTCTAACAGCCCCTCTAGCTGTGTGAGTCCCTGATGGAGGGCTCCCCTTGTGCACAGCAGCCCCGGCTTCCCCCCTCCCCAGCCTCAGCACGCCTGGCTCCTTCCCTTGCCCTCCCCAGCAGCCACACTGGCACTCTGTGCCCAGTGCAAGAGTCCTGCTCAGTGCCGATCCCGTGCGCGGCAGCTCTGGGGGATCCTGGACAGCAGCTCCGGAGGCTCAGGGGTGCGGTTGGGCCCCGGTGCTTCCTCTCCCACCCGGCCCCCGATACCAGGTTGGCTATCGAAAGAGAAGTGCAAGTCGAAGGAGCACCAAGAGATCCTGCCATTCCACTAATGATGGTGAACTCGCTCGCTCTCCCCAGCTTCTCTCCTCTCTCTCCCTGGCTCTTGCTCTCTCTTTCTCTGCTTTGTGTTTGGTGAGTGCTTTGCCCTGGAATTAAGTGAAGCGGTGTGGGGGCGGGGAGGGAAAGAAGAGCAAAGCAGCGCCCAGCCTTCATGGCCCAAGGCCAAATCCTCTCTTGGCTGGGTGCCCGGGGTGGTCCCAGCTTACGGCCCGCGTGTGCCAGCGGGAGGAAGGGAAAGGGGATAGCTAGAGCCCGGGCTGGGCGTGGGGTGGGGGCTGCGGAGAGGTACCTGGAGGGCAATGAAAGGGAAATGAGAATAAAAAAGACCTGGAACAGACAGTTCAGAGGGCAACTAATTTGGCAGAGTTCTATGTGTGTGTGTGTGTGCGCGCGCACACAGGCGTGTACTAAACAAATGCATTATCAGTGGCTTTGGCCCTGCACGTGTGAGGTTTTGTGTGGCTGAATAGAATAACTGGGAGCACGTGGGGAGCCGGGCAGGGTGTGCCTGCTGAAAGCCAAGCCTCCTTCCCAGCTCCACCCCAGCTCTCAAAGGCTCCAGCCACGCTGAACCACACAGCTTCCCATTCAGACTGGATTCGCCCCGCCTCCAGGCTGCCAAAAAGCTGCCCCTGGTTCTACAACAGCCTCTTCTCCTCGCCCTCATCTCCGCCTTCCCCGGCCCACACCACTGCTTGTCCTTCTTGCTGTGCAGCCCTGAAGTCGCGTCCCCAGGAAGCCTTTGCTTGTGGTGCCTCGCCCCTGGCCTTCTGACTCCCCCAGCATAGCAGCAGACACACGGCTGTGGGCGAGGAACTCGCCTGCTCAGTAAGCTCTGACTACACAGCCAACAGATGCCAGGCAAGGCACATACAACGGGGGCTGATGACCCAGACAGCGCCTGCCTTCCTGGGTCTCCCATCAGAGGAGACAGAAATCCATACAATCTGATAGCTGCTTACATAGGAGAAACACAGGGCCCTACAGGTGCACAGACAGGGCCAGGGCCATGGGCAGCCTTCGTGGAAGAGGAAAGGTACAGGTGAGGCTGAATGAATGAATGACTTAGGTCAGTGCAGCTGCCGGAACTGGAGTCTGAGACCTGAGCTGAACAAGCAGCTACACTGAATCAGGGCCAAACCCCTGAAATAATGACCCAGGGAGCCTCACTCCCCCAGCACAGAGATTGGTCCCCAAGTCTGCAGTGGGGGTAGCAACTGTGGGACATGGAGTAGGCCCATCCGTACACAGGGTTACCTTCCTCCCTGGTCAGCAACCGGCTGAGTGGACCTGGCCCATCATCAGCTCGCTCTGGGCCTTGGGTTTCTTAGCTATAAGACAGGGCCACACATTCCGACCTCTAATCCTAAATTGAGGACACAGCCCCTTCCCAGGGGGGGGATTACCTGTGTGGGAATGACAAGGAGAAACTGAGCGAAGGGCATTGCAGTCAGGACTTGAATTCCGAGTCCAAAGTCTTCACTGTGAGTCTGGGAAGGCTTCTGGGCTGAGATGTTTGAGTCGGTGGAGAAGAGCACCAGGGGAGCTGAAGGTGCCGCCGGAACAAGGGTGTGCCAGAGCCACGGACCCGGCATGGAGAGGAACACCCTAGAGATGGTGGTGGGAGGGCGGGCGGCAGCCGCACCGGGGAGTGGTGGGAGACGCGGCTGGGGCTGTGCTGCAGGCCGTGGTGACCAGAAGCAGAGGGGGAGACTCGGATCTCAGCCCGAGTCCCATCAGGCAGGGTGAGGCTGGCCTGGCAGGTGCGGGAACTCTGTCCATGGCAGGACAGCCAAGATCAGCATCAGGGGTGAAGGTGGTCTGGGCTAAGAACGTTAAGGAAATGAGGCCACTGCAGACATTTCGAGAGTATAAAAAGAAAGGACTGAAGGAATACGCCTCAGTTTTTGCAGCTGTGCAATGAGACAGCCAGCTTAGGGGGCTCTCTGAGCCACCTCCTGCTGGGACTGCAGGGTGATTCTAGAAACATCTGCAGTTGCCAGGCTCCCTGAAAGACAGGGGCAACCTTGAAGAGTGCAGGGTGTCACCTGGCCCCCTGCAGGGAGGGCAGGCAGGGCAGGAAGTTTCGGTTTGGGCCCATGTGGGGCACTGGGGTTCAGAGAGCCCCGCTTGCTGCCTGGCCACTTGGCAGGAAGCTAGCTAAGCTGCCCCAGGCCTCAGGCGGGAGCCTGCGATTGACATACCCTCTGCCACAGCCAATCATTTGCCTAGAAAGTCAGCCAGCCGCGAACAGAGTGAGAAGAGCAGAGAGATGCTACCACTTTAGGCTGACAAGAAGCTCGGGGGACAAAAGACTGCACACATGCCACACCCTCACTCCAGCCCGGGCTGCTCCTGCGACGGCGCCTTCAGGATCTAGCAGCAGCCAGGTTAGACTCACAGGTGAGTCCAAGGGCAGCACATGGGTGTGTTGGGAAAGGCAGAGGGACTGTGGGGTTGGAATAGCTGGACCGGTGGCTATGTCTTGTCCCCCTGATTCCTAGAAGTCACACTTCCCAAGTCCATGGGGCGCTAGAGATGGAGCCGTTCACTCCCCCACGCGGGCCATCAGCAGCCTTGTCATCTCCGAGACAGGGAGGAGGGAGAGCTGGCATCATGAGATCAGAGGCAGCTCAGACACACTGTCCATGGAGGGTAGGGCCACAGAGGAGGCACAAGGAGAACCCGGGGCTGCAGCTGTGCCCTCTAAAGATAGCTGTGGCCACGTCCTTCCTGACCGCGGGCCTTCATCTTCTCCGTAAGATGGGCAAAGGGGCACCAAGCCACATAACACCGCCACTGCCACCGCCCATCAGCTTAGTGTCCGCCTTCCCTTCTAGAACGAAGTTGTGCCTATGATGCCAGAGATACAGTCTGGTGGTAAGAGGGAGGGGGGCAGTGGAGAGGGAAAGGGAGAGACTGAGTCAGCAAAGGGAGGCCTGGTTTCCTCTCACCTACGAACAACCAGAGGCGCAGAGAGGAGACTCGGCATCTGTGTCCTGTGCCCAGATTCCGGGGCGGCCAGAGAGCAGACTGACAGCACTGCCCCTCGGACGCCAGCGTCAGCTGCAGATGCGTGCAGGACGCTCGGACCTCGTGTGGAAATCGTCTCTTCCCTCTGGCCATCCTCAGGCCCAGTCCCCACTCACAGGGCTGGTGGACAGCGCCTCCTTCCTGGAGCCCTCCCCTTTTTTCCTTCCCCTACACACAGAGCCTGATGGCTGGCTTGCCTCTCACTGGGAGGGTTAATAAGCCCCTGGGTGACACTAATTGCCATCAGGCATTAGGGGCCTAACGAGAATCATCTTCCTTGACTACTCCAGCACCTTCCATCCCCAAGGCCTCCCTGGACTGAACCTCCTAGGTGCAGACAGATGTGGGGGAGGGGCGAGAGCCACTCCACAGGCCCCAGACCCAAGCCAAGGCCACCCACAGCGGGCAGCCAGGGAAGAGGAAGTCTTCCAGGAACAGATCAAGCCACTTTCCAAAACCAAAATGTCATTTTCCTGGATGAAAATAAACTCGCCGCGTCAAGAGGGCTAGGAATGAGTCAGGGAGCTGGGGGCGGGGACTGGGACCGCCCCCACCCCCCTCAGACCTAGCTCTGACCCACCCCACCCCACATTCTCAATCTGGCTAGGTGCAGAGGTATGGGGAGAGGTGCCCCTCGAGAGCCATAGCTCTCCTGCATAAGGGTTATTACGCGGAGGTTTTGAAGACCCTGTCTCTCCAGAGTAGGACCGCCAAGACCTGGCTTCTGGGGGCTGGGGCGTGACACCCAATCATTGCCATTGATCCAATGCCTGATTGACGGCTGAGGGTTGACTTGTAGGGTCTGATCTGGGCTGTGCTCTAATGAAACCGGCCAGACAGTGGAAGGAACACCACCCCTCCCCCTAGTCGGCAGGTGCCCGGGTGAGTGTGCCAGAGGGGTAGGTCCCCATCCCCACCCCAGGCCCTTGGAGAGGTTTGCAAAACACCTGTAGGAGGGCTGGTGGCCCCCTCCTCTCCGCCGCCACTCCTCTCCCGCCCCGGCCTCCGCAGCGGATTCCATCTGCCCCCAGCTGCGCCCCCCGACCCATCCCCGCACGAAGTGGAACCCGAGAGCTTCCCCGCGACCCGAAAGGAGCTGGGCGCGGCAGCTAGAGGACTCCCACCCAGTGCCCCCGGAGACCCCCGCGCAGACTCTGGGGCTGGGGGTAGGGTGCCCCCTACCCGCGCCTCTGGCAGAACGGCTGCAAAACACCTCCGGCGCCCGGCGGGGAGCTTGCATCCTCGGAAAAGGGACCGCGGCGACTGCGGCGGTGTCTGCCCGGGAGCGGCACAGCCGCCGCAGCCGGCCGGCCCTACTCCAGTCCAGGCTCTAGCGTGCGTCGGAGAGGGGAAATAAAACCTAAAGCAGGGGAGAGCGCAATCGCCAGGTCGGCCCCTGCCCGTGTCTCAGGAAGGAGGCGCGCGCGCCCCCAGGCTGGGAATGCGGAATGGACACGTGGACGGCGGAGGGGGAGCCGGGGAGGGGGCCCTCCGTGGCGCGCGAGCCGGGGGCCGCGCGCTCCGGGCCCACGTGACCACGGGGAATCGGGGAGGGGCGGGGCGGGGAGCGAGCGCGCCAAGCTCGGCGCCCGCCACTGCCCGGGTGGGCGCTGGATCCCGGACGGGGGAGGAGGGCGGGCGAGCGCGCGTGTGTGTCTCTCTCGAGTCATTTACGGCGGAGCAGCCGGCGTGAGCGCCGAGGAGGCGGCGGCGGCTCCGTGCAACCGTGGCTCCCCCCGCCGCCTCTTCCCTTTTGCTCCCGATTCTTCTCCCCACATACACGTCCATGGGGAGCCGGCCCCCCTGCCGGCACCTCCTCTCCGCTCGGCCCCGTAGGCGCCAGCTGCCGCCTCCCTGGCCGCGGGCTGCGCGGGTGCCGGGCGCCCTGGCCCCTGGCGCAGCGCCCGCGTCTCGCCGCCCGCAGCCCGGACTGGCGCGGCGATCCGCTCGCCTAAACTGACTCGAAGAGAGCGGGAGCCGATGCCCGGCCGCAGCGCGACAGCGGGCGAGTGGGCGTCCGGGGGCGGGGCGGGGGCGGCGGGGAGACCGAGGCATCGGAGACTCTGAACCCCGGAAAAGTTCAAGGTTTGTGCTGCCCCCCTCCCCCTCCAGAGAAGGCGAGGAGCGCGGCGGGGCAGCGCGCCCCTCTGCTCGGACAGCGGGACCTGAGAGGGAGAGGGGTGGCCTGGAGCGGCCGCGGGCTGGCCGAGCGCCTTCCCGGCCGTAGAGCGTGGATGGGCCGGAGGCTGCAGTCGACGCCGTGGGCAAGGCGCAGTAGCCGGCATTCCCGCCGCCTTGCTCCTCCAAGCCCCGTCTCCACGGGGCGGCCCGTTCCGGCCGCGCCACCCTCGCCCCAGCCGCCGAGCCGCTGCCAGAGCAGGCGGCGTTAAGCCAGCCTGCGTCGAGCCCGAGCCGCGGTCGAGACTGGAGAGAGCGCCCCGGAGCCCAGGAGCGAGCTCGGCGAGGGGACAAACATCTGGCTGCCCACCTCGGGCATTCTGCCTGGGCGTCGCCTCTGGTGGTGGCGACCCGCGGCGCCGGTCTCAGCGCCGCGCGGAAACTTTTCCTTCTCCGGGTGGATTAAAGTTACCAGGATTTCCTATTTATATGCGAAAAAGAAACCCGTCATTTGCACCTGACCTGGGATTTTTGTGCTGAGGCTGCTGCAGGGCGCCTGGAGGAAGCAAGCCGCGCTGTCCATGTGGGGCTTCTACCGAGACAGAGGGAACTGGGGCTTGCGCTGGAGATCCGCACCCCTGTGCGACTTCGGATTCGAGCTGGGCCGCGGGGCCCAGGCATTCGGTGCTCGGCGCTAGGCAGCCCCGGGGCCCGGGGCCCGCACGTGCGGCTACCCCCTCTCTCCGTGGATCCTGCAGGGGGCACCAGCCCGGGGAGGTGGAGGCTCCTCCCGCCCGGCGCTGCGCCCCCACCAGTTCCGAGGGTGTAGCCGGCGGCGCCTGGGACGCCCCCTCCCCGCAGAGTGTCCCCGAATTGCACTCGCCTGGCCTGGCCCCCGAAGCCTCAGCAGAGCCCACGGGGCGCCACGGCCACCCTGAGTTGGATGTGACCGAGCCTAGCCTGGGGCCAGGACCCTGTCGCCTGTTGCCCCCCCTAGACCCCTCCAGCCCTAGCCTCGGCCATGGCCCCGGGGATGTCGGGCCGCGGCGGCGCCGCCCTGCTCTGCCTCTCCGCCCTGCTCGCCCACGGTAAGTGTCGCGGCGGAGACTCGGGGCTGAAGATGCGGCGGGCGCCGCTGGAGGGGGCCCAGGGAGGGTTGGAGGAAGGAGGACCCCCATCTCCACCCCTCCTCGGACTCGCAGCCGCCGCTCCTAGCCCGGAGTCTGGGGCAGCAGCTCGAGTTTCCGCCGGCCCCTAAGCCCTCCGGCGGGAGCAAAGGCTGCAAGCCTGGCCGAGGGGATCGAGCCCGGCCGGGAAAAAGAGCGAGTGGAGGGTCGATCCAGTCCTCTCCGGCTTAGGAGGAAGGGTCTAAGCCCGAGAGTCTGGGGGCGTGTCCGCCCACGGGGGCGCAGAGAGGTCCCGAGATGCGCTGGATCGCTCCCCGGCCGCTCCCCCCCCCCCCCCACCTTCGCCCTCCCGCTCCAGCCAGTCGGGCTGGGCGCTGTCGGGATCGGCGGGGATCGAGTGTGCCCCGGCCCCTGGAGCGCAGGCCGGTGCGGGGCCGCGCGGCCCGCTGCCTCGCTTCTTGCGGCTGTCCTCGCGAAGGGAAGTGGACTGACAGCGGCCGGAGAGTCGCGGCGACTCGCCCGCCCGCAGGCCTGTGAGCTGCATCTAAATGGCCGGCTTAGCCGAGTCCGGAGGGCGGGGGTCCCGGCCGGGACCGCGGGCGGCGCGCAGAGGGAGCGGGCTCCGCGCTCTCGCGCTCTGCAATCTGTTGCGTCTGCTCCCCAGGCTCGCCCCGGGCTCCGCGGTGAAGGGGGTTGGGAGAGGGAGGGGCCGGGGCGGTGCGCTTTAACGGTGGGACGGCGGCGACACGGGTGCGGGGCAGGGGTCTCTGAACAGCCTCCCCCCATCCCGAGTGGGAACTCGGACCAGACCGGAGGAGGCTGCAGCCGGCCCTCTGCAAGCTGGAGACGCTCCAGGAGGCGAGGGGCGCTGACCAGGGTGAGGGAGAGAGCTCGCGGGAGCAGAATGGAGGTCCTCTGCCCCTCCACAGCGAGCGACCAGCAGACCTGGGGCAGGTTTCCCTGCCAGCAAAGGTGGGGGGCTGGGGGCGGGCAGGGCTTCCCTGCCCCAGGCTGAGGGATGAGCCTTGGAGAGGATGGAGACCGGATGCGATGGAGTGGCTGCTCAGCTTCGGCCCAGATCTGCCCAGTCCCTGGGAGCCTGCCCAAGCCGGCCATGCAGGCCCTCGTGGTCCCTAAGCAGCGGCCTCTCACCCTGAGCAGGGCGCATCCATTGTCAAGGTTGAAAGAAGAAAGGGAATGGGCACTTGGAGACATAGGGTCCGGGGGCCAGAGGGGGAAAGGGATCAGCCCGATGGCCATGCAGGGCGTGCTTGCTTATTCCCAGCTGGGGTGGTGGTGGGGGGTGGGGGTTGCTGCGTTTAGACCACAGGAGACAGCTAACCTCAGTTCTTCCCGGAAAGGCAGCATGCCACCAGGGGGTGGGCTGGGCGAGCCGGGGACCCAGAAACCTCGGCTCCCTGGACAAGACACAGAATGGGGAAGGGCTGGGGAGGAGGCCTGTTTGCCTACTGTAGCCGCCAGGGCAGCACTGGTGGCCCATCCCTGGTGAGCTCTGAGCTGGACCGTCCAGTGGGAGGAAGCCAGGAAGCCCAGACGTTGGGTCTAGGTGTGGTCTGAACCTCCCCCTTGCATCTTCACTGTCAGAGCTCCCTTCCTCAAACCAGCCGTGGCCCCATCTCTGGGCAGTTCAGAAGCTCTCATTACATCCCCCACTGCCCACCGTCCTGGTCTTTCAGCCTGGCCTTATAAATCCTTGCCCACTGTAACCTCCCAGAATCCTCCCTTCCTCCTTCCTGGGGGGGGGGGGGGTCTGATCACCGTCTCCTTCTTGCCCTAAGTGCCAGGGCCTTCCTTCTCTGTACCCTGGGGCTCCCAAAGCTGTGTGCTTCTTGTCCACCCAGCCAGTGCCCCGTGCTTGGTGTGGTACCAGCATGCCCAGGGGCTCAGAGCTTGGCTGCATGAGCAGAAAGAAGGTATTAGAGGAGGGGTCTCCCCCATCCAGTCCTCCTTCCAGGCTGCTTCCCTTCGCCCTAAAGTCTCCCCCATTCCATGCCTTTGTCTCCCCTTGTTGGGGAAGGACGCCAGCAGATGCTTAAAGCTGGGGGACCTCCCCTGTGGATAAGATCAGATCAACAGAAATCCCCTCAACCCCCACCCCATCTATCTGTCCTCCTCTGGGGCTGCATGACACCTTCAAGCCAACCCTTTGCTCTCAGAGGAAAAGGCTATATGGACGTCATCTCAGTCGGTTGGGGCCGGAGGGCTGGCTGTGGCTTCCTAAGCCTGGCAGGCTGCTGAGGCCACGGGGTTCTGACCACATAGCCAGATGGGGAGCCAAGCAGCCTGGGTTCCTGTCTGCTTCTGGCGCCACCAGGCAGGGTGACCTTGGGCTGCCTCACTCGTGCTCCTCGTCTTCCATAAAGCAGCGTGAGCTGCTGGCCCATCCCTCCCCTCCTTACTTGGTGCCCGGACCACTGACAGAGGGGCTCAGCCTTGGGGTGTCCACACCCTGCATTGTCGCCAATCTCAAGGCATCTCCCAGAGAACATCTGCCAAGGCCAGAATCTGGGATCTGGTCTCTGGGAGATTCTTCTCCGTTTTAGTTTGAATAAGAGTTTGGGTGGTGGTTCAATCTGGAGAGCTGATGATGCCAGCCCCCTACTCACTTACCTTCAGGGACTCTGCACTGTCCACAGGGCCTAGGGTACACTCCTTGCCCTGGTGTCCTAGCGCCTTTCCAATCCTGTCCCAGTCTCCATCACCACATCCGTGGTCTTGCCCTCTCATCTCACTCCATGCACCCCATGAGGTTTCTCTCTTCCCACTGTGTACTCTTTCTGCCTTTGCACCTGCCAGCCCCTCTCTCTGGAATGCCTTGCTTCTAGAAAGCCTTCCCGCATCAGTTATCACCTCCTCCAGGGCATCATTCTAGATTATGCTCTGGTTTCTCACCAGCAGTCCCTTGCAGCAGAAGCAATTACACTCTTTCCAGTCTACCCTTGCATTTGGCACTGCCTCTCTGGCCCTCCAGCCACTATGCCCGTGTTGACCCGGGCAACCCTCCTGATAACCACCGGGAGAGTGTATCATCTGTGTTTCTGTCTCATTCTATGGTAGGCGCTCAGGAGGAATGAATGGGGTGGGCAGAACACTGTGTATGGAGGGACGCTCCCAGTGTCAGTTGAAAGGGGAACTCTGAGATGTGGGCAGAAGAGGGGAGGGAGAGGAGACGGTCAGAGACACCAGGAAGAGTACAAGGGGGTGGGACAGGCACATGCGAGCCACCTGTCTCAGGTGACACCCAGCCTCGGAGGATGTGAAGGCGGTGTCCCACATCACTCTGATTGCCACTCGTCTGCCCAGTCCCACAGCCCGCTTCCTTCTGGCCACTCGGAGCGCTGTGCCACCACACAGCCTTGTTAATGTTTAAGACCAGCAGGTGGGGATGTGTTATAAACTTGGTGGCAGAAAAGGAGCTTTATTGGAATCCATTCTGCAGACTGCTGGGTGTTTGGCTGCAGGAGGCAAGGCCACTGAGGAACAGCAGGGCTGGACCCAGGCATCTCCCGGGCCCCGCCCTGGGGGCCTGTCTGGAGCACACAGACCCCAGGACCGAGACTGGTAATGAGTGGGGAAGCTGCAGAAATGGAGACCCAAGAGACCCCAGCTCTGGCCCTCTGGGGCAGGGTCGCACTTGGTAGCTCAGTGTGCAGCAGTGTCCACAGCACTGGAAGAGATTGCAAAACTGCCAGGTCCACCCCTCAGGTGGATAAGGAAGTGGCCACGCAGGGGAAGGGACTGGCCAAAGTCACTGTGCAAGGTCCTTCTGCATCAAGACTAGCCCCAGAACCCAAGTGGGGGTCCTGGCTGGGCGCGGGGCCCAGGCTCCTTGGCAGCTTCCCCCACCCCCACCATCCCTTCTAGGCACTTGGTCAAGGGAGGCACTTCCAGGCTGAAGCCGGGTGGCAAGCAGTTAGGACAAACCCTCACCAGCAGCTGTGGCTGGTAAACCTCACCACGCATCCACTGGAGACGGGAGGGGTTCCCTTTCGGGAGCTTCCAGCACCAGCTGCAGAGAGGAGAGAAAGCCCCAGATCCTTGCGGTTTAAAGCGGTTTGAAACCAGAGCCCTCAGGACTCAGGACACCTGGGTGCAGACCCTGACTGTGGCACCGATTGGCTGCGTAGCGGCAGGACTGTCAGCTCCCTTCTTGCCCACCCCTGCCCCCACCCGTGCCTCCCTCCACTGATGCCTGCAGCAGAGCCAGCAAGTGGACACGGTTCTTCCCCCTCCCTGCCCCATTCCCTCCCCAGGATCTCCCTTCTTCCTTACCCGTGCTCAACACAGAATTTTAATAAGAAATTAATGAACCAGTTGTGCACGTGCTTCTTTTTTTTTTTTTAAAGAAAATAAATGTCTTTTTCTATTCTCCTCTGTCTTTTTAAATGCCAGGAAAAGTGGGTCCCCCTTTTCACCAGTTCAGCTGTCTGGGCCGTACTCCAGTGGTCCCCAAAGATGGGGCTGCATATGGGGGAGCGCTAAGGCACCAGTTCCTGGAAGACTGGGGGCCGCTAAGACCAGGGAGGCCAGAATGGTGCCAGCAAGGGAGCCGGCCAGTCACAGAGTCACCACAGGCCAGACAGCATCATCCCTCCCTGCAGTCTTGTTTGTTCCCTCCAGCTCCCCCTCCCCCCTACCTGAACCACAGGCACCTCCGCCCCAGGCCTCACCGGCCAGCCCACAGCAGCAGGATGAAGTGGGAAATGGAGGCAATTACCTAGATAATTTGGTGCTTGTGGCAAGAATGAATGAATGCAAGAATGAATAATTCAGTGCAAAAAAAAAAAAAAGGAAAGATAATTGAAGAAAATCTCTTTTTGCCTAAATTATCTACATAATTATCTGCCTTTGGAAAGTCCTGCTTTTGATCAAACTTGAATCCTTCCTGGGCATCCTCACCCAAACCCCTTCAGCCTAGGAGGAGGGGCAGCTCGGCACCC